TGCAAAGAGTACGAACCAAATTGATCTTGCACAAAATATCACATTCCAACAAGAATGTCAAGTTTGGAAAGAATCAGTAAAACTGCAGAAATATTTTAACGAATTTTGGGGTCTACATCTGTGGGTAAGCTAGTTATATTCTAGAATAAAAAAGACAGTCAATGACAGGAAAAACACAGACATGCTCCCTAGATGATAAAAGAAAGACAATTGTCTTAATTATTATTGACAGTAATCTGACACTCAGGTTGATCAAAATGAATAGCTCTGATCATCAAGTCTGATGGCATTTCTTTACCTCAGTATGGCAGTGGCAATATTATCATTCATCATTGTATGTGGACTGAGTGTTTCTAGGTCATGTAAGGAAATGTCAATGTCATTAATGTTGATAGTTGCAGGGCTTGTACCACTCTCCTCCATCTCTGGTTGGCTCTGCTCTTTAATTACCAAATTTACCATGTCACTAGGTTTTCATGTAACCATAATTATTGGTAAAAGATTAGAAAACTTAATTGCTAAATACATAAATATTGTAAAAAAGCTAAAATTGTATTTGCTGTGCCTTTTGGTATATTTCCTTCAATTAATTCCTCATTTCCAGCAGATGTACAGGTTTCATCAGGATTACTTCCTAAGAGAGAGGGGAAATGTAGGCAAAGGTTACATGCATGTATACATAGTGTAGCAGCTAGACTATTCTTGGTTATCAATAGATACTGTTTAATTATCAGTACCTTACCTATTTCCTTATTACATCTGGAATTAGCAATGGTGCAACCTGGGCAATCCAAACTTTTCCAGTTGGAGACACACTTTCATCATAAATGCTATGTCATAGGGTATTTCAATGCTGTAAATTCCCTTGTTTGTCCACACAACAAAGTTACACAAACATAAACCACTCACAAACATCTGCATATGGACTTACCTACAATGGAAGTACCTACAATTGGTTTTTAGCTGAAATTTGCCATCAGAATAGACTCCAATTTAAGGGGTAAGAAATGCCTGCTTACTATCTTTATCCTGATGTAACCAAGAGCACTTGTACTCCACAACAACTCTACTGCAACCAACAACACACCACAACTACGAATGTTGTCAAGGCTTGCTCCCATGAATGGTTTTGCAGTCGATATAAGAAAACCACAATTGTGCAATTTGATGTTGTCATGTATGTGGCTCTGCAGATCAAGGTATGCTCTTCTGGCTTTTTCTTCATTTTTCAGTCCCCATTCTCTTGCATTATCAGGAGTATCTTCTATATTTACCATGGGTGTTCTTAAAAAATATTAATTGACATGGTTTGTCTTAAAAGTTGTGTAATGTCACTACAATTGGTTGATTCAAGCGACTTTTGTCTGGTGAAGTAATCCTCACATTTTGAAGCAGTAAAAAACCCTTGTTTGTTGACATACCACTCCTTGTACTGCCACTGTTTAGTTGTCAATTGGTCGATCTTGGTAGTTTCGGCCTCAGTAAACGTTAGTGCAGCTTGTAGTTGTACTGGGTTGAGTAAGGGAGAATTTTTCAAAAGTTCAGTTACTTTTTCCGCCATCATGCCTTTACCACTTACTTTGTTTGATACAGCAGACTTTGAAGGAGTCATTGATTTAGGCATGGGGTTTTCCGGGTTTGGGTATAATTTTTTTCAATAGAGGAAAAATAGGGGAAGTGGGATTCAGGGATTCCATTCTAATGGCAATCGCAGACAAGTCTTCTTGTGTATTTGCCCTCTTGTGTCGGTCCTGACGCAGATCCATTTCTTTGTTTTGGAACCACTTGTGGGGCTTTTTCTTGCCTTTTAACTGCAGAATTTCCGACTTGCTGATGAGTAAGTCCTTTACTTCACAAACTTCCGAGAGGTTTCCTTATCCACTGACAAGGACCACTAGTTAAGCTGTCGCTTCCTCGGCTGTTTAGAAAGTCTTCCAGCAAATACATTGCCACAGCGATATGTTTACAACCACCGTCTCTTCACCTTTATATTTACAAAATTCTTCCAAGACGCTTCCTCTACTTGCTCCTTTGCCTTCAAGTATGAACCACACCTGGTTGGCCATTGACAGTTTTGGACTTCATGGCTCGCTTTACTTTCCCGACATATACTTGCACTCCACAATCTTTCAGTGTCACTGTTTCCAACGATTCGACGTAACCATCATCGATAACCTGTAGTCTTTGTACGACTTGTAAGAAGCAAGTCCTTGCTTGTCGTACTCAGTCGAAATGATATATTAAATGATTGAATATATCGTACAATCCGAATGGTGGCGAATCGATTAAGTCATTGACCATCTTCATGGAGAAGGGAGCCTTAATTTGCATTTCATGAATACACAATCGTCGATCAGGGCTTTTTTGGTTGCTATCCTTTCGGAAATTGGGATCAAGAGGTAAACCCATCTTTTCCACAGAACTAGCTATTTCAACCAAAACTGGCTTTAAGCAACCGCTTGTAGTAACACCACAGTCCGCTAAATATTTTTCCAATTCCTTCTTGATTTTACATGCGACTTAATTCAAGCACAAATAATAAACCTCAAGTTGAGATGCAAATCGATCAATTTTATTCAAACCACAACGCTTTAACTACAACTAAATTAAAGGACAACGTCACTGAAGGAGACACTTGACATAACTTTGTATGGTAGTACGAACTTTCGGCTTTGTTTACATATTTTGACCACGTGATGACTACACATAGTTTCCAGCGTAAAGGTGGTGAATTGATAAAGCATATGGAGTGTATGGAGTTTTTCTATCTGTTTGATTCTCATGCATGTAATTGTTTTGGAATGCCTGATTCTAATGGGACAGCAGTGTTTTGCACTTTGCAAACATTTTAGATTTACAGAAATATTTGTATATTCTTTCTGAGGCATTGCATTCTAATTTGTTTGAAAATTGTCTCTGTTCAGTTTGCATCTAAATTGCAACTGAAACAAATCTGGAAATTCGAGTTAAAAATTCGAGTGATGCAGAAGGGGCTAGTGCATCGTCAGGGTCAGGGACAGAGCGAACAAAAAGCTACACTGATCTACTCGAGAAAGCTATACCAGCCGGCGAATTCAGAGATTCTGCAAATGTGAGGAAAGAGATTCATGAGTCTCTCAGCAAAATTTGTGGTGCTGTAAGTTCATTATTAAAGAAGGTAGGTGCTTTCGCTTCCAAAGAGAAAACACAATGATGCATAATTAGTTGAAAATTGGTTGGCTCTTTGATTAATTTCTTCAGCATTTGCAGCATCTGCAATAATGAATTTTTTCATTTGGTGATTATTTTTCTTCTGATGTTTTTGCTGTTCTTTTTTGCATTTTTTTGCATTTGACATTTTGGATTTCAATTTTTTTTACTCCCATTACAACCATTTTTCTCTTAATTTTTTTAGTAAATAATTTTAATCCCAAAATAATTGTCAAAATAATTTTCTATAAATTTTATCATATTTTACATTTCGCTTTTTAACATTGGTGCTAATATCTGGAATTTAAAATTGCATCACCTTATATCTATTTTTTAGAATTTCAGGAAGAATAAAATGTACTACATTATCATCTCTTTCGTAAAAATTTATAATATCGAAGAATATAAGAACATATTGTCTCATCATCAACTTTGACATCAAACATTGTATACTTATCCCCTTTTATAAAGTATACTTCAATTGTAGGGATAATATCCATGTTAACGAGATATGGGAAGTGTGTGTTTTAAGGCAAAAGATCCTTTATTGACATTTAAATGCAATTGTGTAATGGTTGCTCATTCGCCTAATGCTGAAATAGGTACATGTATAAAAATGGATAATAAAAAATCTAGAATTAACTAAATTTATAAAAACTAGCTAAATTTATTTAAAAATTATATTTAGATATTCCTGATGGAGTGACTGAAGAGGGCAGAAACACTCAAGAAAAAGAAAAAGAGAAAAATAATTTTCCGAATTGCTGCTGTTTTGTTTCTTCCGTTTAATTGATAAAAAATGAATGATTTATCGGATGATGATGTGAGAAGATTAGTAGTGCTGTATCTGAAAATCATGAAATTTTACAAGCAAATGATAATACGTCATTTTCATTGGAGCAAATTCATGAAAAAATAAAAAAATATGAAAAATTTAAAAGTAAAATTTTAACGTATGTAGTTAATGTACTCAGAATTCAAGACATGATTTTCTTTGATTTTATTGATAGTTTAAAAGAACTTTTTGAAGCGCTTTTGAGTGTTGCACGTTTAAAAAGCACAAGTGATAAAAACTATGCGCATTTTGTTTTTTTTTAAATCAGGGGCGTGCTGGGTCTTCAAGAAGAACAACGAATGAGTAACACTTTAGGGGCCCAAGGGCGCGATCCAAACAAAAACAAACTAGACAAACTGTCTCCACTTTATTATACTGTATGATGATGTGTTCTATTGGGCACTTGACGTGCATTATTTGATAAATTAAGCAAATTATGATGTATTGTTACTTTGTTTAGTTTGTTAAATGAAATTGATGAAAATCAACCATTTATTATATTATAATCAAGCAAGTACTAGGGAAACAAAAGTCGCTTCATCTCATTACTGTCGGCATATTCTTTAATGATATCCTGCTTGTTCAACTTCCACATTAGTTCATACTCTGTTGCTAGTTGAATCCTCTGGTTCAAATTTTCATGTGTTAATCTGCTTGCCAGTCTGCTCTTTATTATCTTCATTTTACTGAATACCCTTTCACATTCGGAAGAACTGCTTGGGATAGTGCTCAGAATATGATATACTGTTGTTAATTCGGGAAAAACAGAATCCAAGTTCTTGGACTTCAGGAATTTGTATGTATTAATGAAACTTGCTTGTATTGGGTCCAAAATATCAGCTTCATAACTAAGGCAAATGCTTGAAAAATGAAGCAGCTCTTTCAATATAATCTCGGAGTCCATTTGATATTTTTTCATTAATGGCTCTATATTCTGCTTCAAAAGCTGCTTATCAGTAGCTACCATTTCCTTGAATCATTGAGGCTGAAACAATGACATTGATGCCAGCACACTGCGTTGACTTTGGAATTTCTCCTGTAGGACATTGATGGCTGAGTCTATAGCTGTGTAAAATACTTCTACCTTCCAGTTATCTTTTGCTGAGGTAGATCTTTCATCTACGCCCTCATCCAGTGTCTGCCTTTTCTTCCTACGTACTCGTTGGACTTCAAATTCCGTTGATGAAAGTTTCAACTCTCTTGCCAACTTCTCTGCTTTGGCTATCATATCTTGTGCGGCTGAATCTCTCAATAGCTGCAGTTTTTTACTTGCATTGTCCACAATAGATATTGCAACTAGCAAGTCAATACTTCTAGTCTGAAGAGATAAGTTGAGTGGTGCCAGAATTTCAAACAGGTCGTCAAAAAGTAGCAGCGTTGCAAGTGTATCAAATGAGTCAAATTTGTTGAGGAGGCCTTCAGCTTCAGATCGCACTGTTGCATCAAATTCATCAGTGTTCTCATAAATTTGTAGCAGTGTATCCAAAACAACTCTGTAGAGTTTCAGACCTCTATCTGTAGCATCATGAAGTGATAGAAATCTGATTGTATGTGTGCCTGCCAGCTCAAGGGAGCGAAGTTTGCTATTTGTGCACTTCTTTTTGTTTTCTTGAAATATTTGGTTACGTTTTCGAGCATTGCCATACAGAAATGAACGAAGTTTCTGCAGTTCACCTGGTTTTGCATCTGTCCCATATATATTCACAGCAGCAACAGAAGAGTGACAGCAAGCTTTCATTACTAAATTTGATGCATGTGCACCACAATACACATTAATTGACATTGGTGCAAGTTCTTGAATACGAGTGGCAACTCCTTTATGCTTTCCCTGCATATTTGATGCTCCATCAAAAGAACTCCCAACGCATTGTCCCAATGGAATATTGTTTCGTTCTAGAGAACATTTAATTTCCTCAGTGATTGCTTCTCCCGTGGTTACTTCACATTGAACCAGACGCAGAGTTATGGCCATTTGTTCACATAATGAAATATCAGTGGTTCCATCAGCAGATATACTATAGAATACTGCATCATTTACACATTCAACAATTTTTTTCTTTACCAGATTACCCATTGTTTTGACAAGCTTGTCTTGTGTATTATTTGACACAAGTGATATTTTACTTCCTCTCCCTTTTGGACCTTCTCCAGGTCTGTGTTGATAATGCTCTCTAACTTGATGCAATTTTGTGGACACAGTTTTATCATATATTCCTAACAAATTCACCAAATTTAGGAATTTCCCAGCACCAGGTTGAAAAGCTTCATTTTTATCAGCTAATAGATAGAAATTGTTCTCATCACTTCCTCGATGAGGTATTGACTCTGAACACATATATCGCAAACAGTCAATGATTCTGTGCAAATACTCATGTAGAACTTCGGCTTCTCTTTTGAACTGCTGTACTTGTTCTGCACATTGCTTAGAAATTTGTGAATATATTGTTTTATCACACATCACAGCTAATAATGTCTCACAAGCAGCAATATGGTTCTTTTGCATTGGATGTTCTTTTATTCGGTTGCTAACATTAACCCACTTATTGTAACCATCACGGAGTACATTACTATCATCCTTTTTAGCAAAGACTAGACAAGTTGTACAAAATATTTTATCAAGTTCTTTAGAATAGCTCAACCATGATCGTTTTTGTTCTATTGTCACTCCACCCACAACCTTCATTTCAAAATAATATTTCTCCACAATATGTGGTGTAGGAAACTTTGGCTGAGCTGGCCCAAGCTGAATAAATGACTTTTTTGTTGAATGGTCGGATGTGACAGTTGAGTGAATTTCAGAGGGTCATTTTCATCGACTATATTTTCTACAATTGATTCTGTCAAACTTCCAAGTCTATTATCAAAATATTTACTAGATGAGGAAGGTAAACTCATGGAAGTAGTACTACTATTCATACTGGCACTTCTTGAAGTTAAAGCAGAAGTCTGTGTCTGTTGTGCAGTACTAGAAGAGACAGTGACAATGACAACTGTTCCTGAATTTGTCATAGTTGGTATTGCTGAAGTTGTAGAAGGTTGGACATCAGTAGACATGGCCACTGGCACTGCCACAGTTTTATCTGTGGGAAAATGTGGATATAAGAAGAATATTTCAGAAAAAATCTTAATTATTATGTTTATTACTCTATTATAAGAAGATTTAACTATTTAAGGCATTACAAGAAAATTTTCAACATGAATATTCAAACAAAAATATTACATCTCAATATCACATCAATTCTAATTCTTCTTTTATAAAGCTATAGAAATATAAAATGATTTAAGAAGATATAAGAAGAAATTTAGTAAAAAATTAAATCTTAAAATAGTATAAGAAGATATATTAAGAAAAAAGAATATAAGTCGATTTCTGATCCTTACCTGTGGCTGTGGCTGCTTGTACTGCATATGCGGATGCCGAAGCAATCGTATTCGTGAATGAAGTTATTTTCTTTGACTTCTTTGCATCTAAAGCCAGAAGTAATTTCTCCCTTTCCTTCCTTTTTTGAGCTCCTGACTTCATATTGACATTATATCAGGAGTATTATTTTGCACAAAATATTCAGATAATTCAATAATTCATATTTGTTGTTTGGTGCGCCTGCACATGTTTAGGTCAATGCAAAGGTTGCAGGAATACTAGTACTTCAAGTAACCTTACACGGTGACGCGATTCTGTAACGAGACGCAAACTTTGGCCACGTACTTGATATGCAAATAAAATAGCTCTTAATAATACAGGCCTAGGACATCATGATTTAGCTAATATACAACTCTTCTATAAAGGTTGCTTTTACAAACTGTTGTGTATTTAACACTTTTTCAAATTTCAATTTATAGTCTAAAGGGCCCATTATGCCAGGGGCCCACAACGAGTTCCCATTGTCTCGACCCTGGCCAGCACGCCCCTGTTTTAAATGCACCTTCATACCCGTTTTCAACACTTGTTGTGAAATTGAGCAATTTTTCTTGGATATGTTTTCAAATATGATGCAAAGTGGAGATAATGCAGTTGCTTCTGCAGCGGGTGGACAACATCAGTTTCAATTTCGATATTTTCACCGGAACATGCAAAAGCTAAACGGGAAAAAAAACGTAAAAATAATAAAAAATCAAAAACTTACACGTTTCTGGGTAAAGGTTCAGGTGGTGCACGAGTTCGATTGTAAAAAAAAATGGTAGAATGTACACGCATGGTGCATATCAAATTAACTCTGTTGATTTCAAAATTTCAGGATGTTGCTTTGCCCAAAAAAGTTTGAATTACTTAGAAGGGATAATAAATTGATTAATGTTTTTATGGAAGAAAATATTTATGATATTTACGAAAAAATTAAAGATAATATCCAGTCGAATCTGAGCATGCGCAAGCTTTGTTTACATTTTCAGTTGACATCCATTATATATGAGCGTACACGAAGTACAATGCATCTACATAATAAGACTTTTCCATAACAACGTGGTGGACTTCACTCTTTGGTGGAAAAATACAGTGGAATTTATGGGAATATACAACAGTTAAATGTGCGTAATAAGTTGGCTATTCTGGGTGGCTTTAATAGGCAAATTCGATAATTGATTTCACCAATGATTTCATACTTAATATGAATTAAACTTTGAACTGACACTTTTGTGTCAGAACCTAAAGTGGCAAAGATGGGGACGCATCCTGTTTATATTTACACAAAGTCGTTGGTCTCATTGTGGATATGTTCAAAATAATATGGCGACAAACACCTGGTATTCGATATTATTTTGTTGCTCTCAAAATTTAATACCGCGTCGTATGCATGGAAGTGTCCTTTACGCTAGAGCAACAAGATGACAATGAGTTCATCCAAGCATCTGAAAACTCGTTTAAGGACAAGATAACGGCTTGTAAGTGTAAACCCAGCAGGTTTATGTGTTTACGAGAAAGGGGTCGTAATGCGTGTCCGTGTAAAAACGCTGGACATTCCTGTTCTTCTGCGTGCCATGGGCAAGAGAACAAAGACTGCCTGAACAGAATGCAACTATTGGATGGGGATTTCTCTTCATCTTCTGAAGATTCTCTGGTATGTACAGTACAATTACGCTTTTTATGCTATATTTAGTTAAATTTGTGCGAAGTACTGACATTATATTAAAATGAATGGATTTGTTATATAAAAGCCCACTGATTCACATGCAAAATTTGTCCCAGGACAACAAAATGTGTATTTTAACTGTGTAATATTATAGTATATGCTACATTTGCTGCCTACATGCATGTTGTGTTGTATCCTCTATTTTTTCTGCCTCATGTATTGTAAACATTTGTTCAACATATACTATTTTGTATTAGGACCAAGAATCATCAGATGAGATGTTTCAACCTCCTGAACCAAAACGTGAAAGAGGCACAAGAGGTAGACCATCAAGTCGTGGGCATTCAAGAGGTTCAACAGCTTCTAGAGGTCGAGCAAGGCAACCCAGAAGAGCCCGCGGATCAACAAGAGGTGGAAGAGGGCGTGGTAGATTAGTGGCTGAAGAAAATTCAGATGAAAGGTAGGTTCAGCATGAAGAGCAGATACAGGTATTGTAAGTCTGCATTGCAATAAGTCTGGAAACATACTATTCAAGTGTGTTCCTCTGTTTAATACTAGTGGATTGTACTTGTCAGTAGGAATACAACTAGGATGCCTGTTCTTTTAAATGTATTAATATTTGACTCTATCAATCTCCTGGTGATTGTACTTGTCAGTTGTCAGTGCATGCTCATAGTGCTGCAAGTTATGTGCTAAAAGAGATGTTCACAAACTATATCTAGCAACTAAAATGGACTGTAACTAGTCAAGGCCCTTTATTCAGGATTACTGTAACTTGTGCAATTTGACCAAAGACACGGTACCTGGCAGTGTCTATTTAATAAATAATTAAAAATATATTATTATCCTTCAAATATTTGTAGGAACTCATAAGTGGCCTAAATGAGGAAGCAGTTAGACGCTTGGCTGTTGAACTGCTAAGACGACAACCTGCAATGTTTGTTGATTTAGTAAATGGTGAGTTACCAAACCCAGGTGCACCAGTAAACCAAGGACCACCAGAGGACCCAGGACCACCAGAAGACCCAGGACCACCAGAAGATGACAATAATTCACCTGATTGGTGTAAGTGTGGTTTGCGTGTAGCTATGCCAACACAAGCTGAAAACAAATGTTGCACACAAAGTGTTCGGCCATGTATAACAACAAGCCCATTATTCTACCAAATTGTCTTGGATGGGAACATATTAGATGTGGCAATGAGGTACAGGGAGGATATGTTGGCAATGGAACATCCCCGGAATAATGAGAACTTTAGGCATACAGCATACAGGCAATTTGTTCTTTGGCAACATGGTAGACTTGGACAAGGTAACCGGAGAGTTGTCCCAAGTTGCTGTGTGAAGGCAATCAGGAATTGTTACCCGTCACCTAATTGTGTTTATGTAGGCTTCAGGCCAGCAAGATTATAATTATAAATAATTGCTTTGTAAATATGTACAGTATGAACTCTCAAAATCGAGACTTATGCTTTTCTAACAACTGTGTTACTGTTGGCCTTGGTGCCACTGCAATATTGGGAGCAATATTCCTTGGATCCTCTGCACTCCTCACTTGTTTTTGGTTAACATTACCAGTTTTCACTTGCTCTTCAAAGATCTTCACAATAAGTGAAGGTATATATGCATACTCTTTGGGTACAAGAACAGCTAGAATAATACATAGGTTCGCTTACTGTGTTGGGCACGGTGTCTGATAGATTTAAAATAGAGATTACAGTAGTTGTTCGGGATTGATGCAGGTATCTGTTAATACTGTAAACGTATCTAGATATATTTGTTAGCCAATGTATTATTTTTCCAAAAGCAATCTACTAGTTACTTACACAAGTTCTCCACCATAGTTCCTATAAGGTTGCCGATTTCTATGACTGTTAAAGGCAATAAGAGCAAGTAGATTGCGCAGCTTATACCCAACATACCTGTAAAGTAAATTTTAAGTTCACTTTAACATTTTGCTAAAAATGTATGAAACTAGAGCCAGGTACAGAATTTTAAATATGTTATAAATCATTTTGGTAAGGTACCAAAGTATTTTTTAAACTAATTAATAACCATACATATACTTACGAATATGCATGCCGTTTTTGGACAATACATCAGCATATGGTTGTGAAAAGATTCAAGGAATCCTGTGTGCCTAGAGTAATATAAAAGAAAGTCATACTGTAGGTACAATTAAATTGGTTTGTGATTATTAAACAAAATGTTAAAACTGCCAGCTAAATGTAATATGGTTATTAGACTGTAAATTACAGTGTCAAGTTATACTGTATTTATGCTGTTTACTGACATTACTAACCTTAAGTTGGTATAATAGTGAAATGTATTTAGGAATCGCTTGCTCAACACAACAACCTTTTGTAATGCATTGTGTGCTTTACTGTTTTTCTTCAACCAAGGCTTTTGTCTTTCTTCTTCAGTGAGACTATCATGTCCACATTTCCCAGAGCTTTTGCCATCATCTAATGCCCATTCATGCTCATTTACAAAATGGTGAAGTATTCCTCTCCATAAATCCTACAAAAATATTCACTTATAGTATGCATAGGTATAGTTTGTTTAAAACAATCATTTAGTAGATTAACAGCTGTAGTCATGCAGTATCGGAGAAATGAAGGCTATTTTATTATATCCATTGCTAAACTAAAATGGTTATATCAAAGTGCTATTATTGTTATTTTTTAAGATATTTTTATACAATGTGTACCTTGAAATCATCAATATTCCCATCACAATGCCGACTACAATACCAAAAATGGTTTTTCACAGCCCCTGCCCATTGGGTTAAATCTTCATTTCCTTTTTCTTTAGAAACCTACAGTAAAGCCAGCAAAAAACTGTTTGTTACTAAATTATGCAATTGTAAACATTATACAAATGATGGACATGGGAAATGCATGAATTATATTTTTTTAAATAAGCAACCAATACCAGAAAGTAACCATTTAATAGATACAGTAGTAAAATCATGAAGTGTTTGATAAAATACAGCACCACTTACTATGGCACCATTTAATCAGCTTGTTGCCAGTAAGTTGTTGCAACAATGGATGCTACTGCAATTTTTTACCTTGTATACGGTAACAATGACACAAGAAATTTTATTGGTCAAGAGGTACGTATTAGTGCATTTTGATTCTGGTTACCAGAAAAATACAACCAATTTCTACACACACTGTGCAGGATATTGAGTTGATAAATAAAACTTACACTTGTGACTTTCTTCCCAATTGACTTTCCACCATGCCAAACATCTCGCTGATGCACAATGCCAGCATACTTATCAGAATGACCTATAATATAGGACAATTTTTAGAACTTCTGCTAACCATATTTACTGTATGATTGTTTAATGCAAACCAATATCGAAAAATGCTAATAACTAGTTAGTCAAAAGCACCAGTGATTATAATACATTGTAAATATTTTATAATGTTATCCATATTAATCACTCACTCATTAATGCTGCAATTCCTGTATGCCCATCTGTAATGACCTCCTTAATGATAATGTCAGTGCTTAATAGAGCATCCATACCCCTCTGGAAACCAATACTTTCCATGTTGGTACTTTTCCTGCCATCTACCTCACGAACATCCAGAACATTCTGCTGCAATATAACCTCATCAACCATATCTGCAATTGTATATGTGCAATATTGTGCACAGTGTCCTGGCGAGTCATTCCTAGCATCTGAGCTGAGCAGAATCTCTATATTTATCCTCTCGTCCAATAGGGTTTGCCTCATCGAATCCCAGTGGCTCTGAACAACTGGTGCAACATAAAGGCATTGATGTTGATAAAACAGGCTCTTTGAAATAAACTCAAGGTTAAGGAATTTGAAAAGTAGTGCAGTTTTGGTGAAGGAATTTCCAAATAACAACAGACATGAAGACAATAATAAGTTTCCAGCACGCATTCTATTAGTCATTGGTTGTGCTGACCAGCTTCCTCCAAAATGGCCTGAAGAACACTTCCATGTCACCACAACACAGCTACCAATGTATGTTTTTCTGTATTCCCAATGCTTATCACAATCTGATCTATTACAATCAGCACCATGTATTGTCTGTAACAGTTCGAGTACCCGATTTGTAAATACAATACACTTCTCTATTTGTACAAGTTGTAAATGGGGAATATCTGTGGGTACATTGGCAGGTGGTGGGTCTTCTGTAGGCAGTGATAGATCCGGATCTTTGTTTTCTTCCTCATCGCCCAACAGTGTGTCAAACACTTCCTCTTCTAGGGAGATCTTCTCTAATCCATCAACATTCATTCTACCAGAATTGAAATTGTCAAGAATATAAAATTATTTCAATTAAATAAATACAGATCTGTTCATTATAACAAGTGTAGTGCAGTATTGCCTTAGCAGTATAGAGCATTCATTTAGCATTATGTTCTTTCATCATAGATAGGAGTAAATCCATTTCATGCAAGCTTTTTATATAATTTTTATTCCTGTAACAATGTATGTACAGTGTAGTAGTTCATACAGCAAGGAATGATGAAAGAACATAACAACATACAGTAACTTGGACCTACAGTATAGGCCCCTATATAACACTATACACTACAGAATGTGAGAACATCCTGATACCCAGTAATATGTTTATCACTATCAGGATAACATTGTTTGATTGGTAGCATAATAGAGACTGAAAATGGAAACTTTGATGTTTGGAATATGCAGAATATCACTGTTTGGTACAATTATGAATTATAAATAAATTCAATTTGACAGTGATGAATTATGCAGCATAGTAAATATATGTTGTTTTGTTTCATTTATACCATTTGTTAATTACAAATCCCACACTAATAAGAAAGGACTATAAACAATTAATCAACTTTAATAAAGTTACAAAAAATATTCTGTTAACTCACAATGTACTTTGTTCATTGAAATCTAAATGCAGACTATCATTTGAGGAATATGCTGGATCCTCAGGGCCTGTCAGTGTCTCCTCATCATCTTGACTGATGTTCAATCTGAAAACAGAACACCACAAAATTAGACCCAACACCAACATACATTCAATCAGTTCAATCAACCACTATAGGTAATATGACTAGATACAAAATATTAATATATAATAATATAATATATATATAATATATAATATATATATATATATATATATATATATATATATATATATATATATATGTGTGTGTATATGTATATGTATATGTATATGTATATGTATATGTATATCTATATCTATATCTATATCTATATGTATATATATGTATATATATGTATATATATGTATATATATATATATATATATATATATATATATATATAAAAATAATACCAAAGAAATAATAATATATAAGTAAACAAGAGTAAAAATAATTTAATTGTTACATGGAACAATCGGTGACAGCGATTCTGCAGGGAGCAATGTTGACTCAGGTACATGTAGGAAGGAACTATTGTCTGTCAGTGTTTTCGCGTCGCTAAATATGCAAAACATGAGGTTAAATTGACTATTGAATTGGGGTCAAAGAAGGCCGAAGCATATATAGCATTATCAATAGTATAAAATCTATTTACATACCACTTTCCAGCAGTATTCCGTCCAGATAAATATGTGTTTATCAAAAACTCAGCGAGCTGTTTGTGGGTGTCAAAATTTAGTTCACTTTTTAACTCTGTCCATGGAACGAATTGTTCGTGCAAGTTTACTCTTGATTTACCACGTTTAACATCATATTCCATACGCTTATATTTCGTGTCAGTCGGATTTGGATTTACTGTCGAACTTTCTGCGATATTTTCTAAAATATCTTCCTCTCCTTCGTCGGCCATGGTTTGATAATAGTCGAGACAATAGTTTTCTCACTCATCAAGCAAAGTGGCAACAGATCATATATCAACACAGCCTCAAAACTTAATGTAATATGTAGTAAAATAAATTGTTTGCGGGGGCCGCAAATAGACTTTTCCGCGCATCCTCAGATTCGACTGGATATTATCTTTAACCTTACCATCGGGAAAGTTTCAGGATCAAATTATGAGTCAGTCTATGAGAATTACCTAAAACAGGAAAATGTTGATCTTTGTTGTTTACTCCGATAAGTATTTTAATCAGATTGTTTTTGACATTTGGGGTGATGAGAATGGTAACATTTCACGCATAACAAATGATGTTATTTTTCTATGGTTGAATAATAGTCATTACGATATTATTACAAATTCACAAATTTTCTGTAATAATCAATATTCATGTTTTCGTTGTATGAAACGATTTTCATGTTTTGAATTTCAACACAATCATATTTGCAACCCCACATTATTGTGTAGAATGCGTTACTCATCGCCAACAAAATGCGTAAAAACATGCAACAACATTAAATGCAGTAAATGTAATTTGATCTTTAACAATCAAAAGTGTTTCACATCTTTTTAATGCCGTTTCTAAACACAATAAAGCTACGCATGACGAACTCAAAGCGATTCAATCAAGCCAAGATTTCATTAGCAATAAGTTCGACGAGTTATTGAACTCGTTCAATTTGCTAAAGAAAGAAAACAGCCACCTAAAGCACAAAAATGCCCAGTTGAATATCCAGGCAAGAGAAATGGCAATTCGAATATCCAAATTAGAAGACGAACAAGAAAATCTGAATCTATACTCTCGAAGAGACTGTTTAGAGTTCCATGGAATACCAGAGACGCCGGACGAGAATACAGACGAGTTGGTCAAGCAAATCGCCGATTTAATGGCAGTTGAAATTAACCCAACAGATATCTCGACAAGCCACCGTTTGCCTTCCAGAAGAGGCATCATTCCTACAATTATTGCAAAGTTCGCAAGACGAAGTACTAGAGATAAGCTTTATAACTCGAAGGGAAATTTAAAGAATCGTAGCTCGTCTGACCTTGGTTTTGTACGGTCTGATAATAAGTTATATGTTAATGAAAGCCTTACGCCGAAAGCTAGAGAACTGTACCATCAAGTAAGACAAGTTCGAAAAGCCCATCGTTTTAAATACGCTTGGACAAAATATGGTAAACCCTATTTAAAGAAGGACAATGCCTCTCGAGCTATATCATTCGCATTGCTGAAAGAACTTGATGATTTCAAAGCAAGCATACCAACTCTATCTGGGCAAGTACCATAATTTTATAGTTGCAAGAGTAATTAAATGTGATTATATTACATGTAAACTATGGCTGCATCACTTAGAGAACTACCCTTTTATGATTTGGATAATAATAGTTTTAACTTGTTAATGTTTGAAATGCAAAATGGCGCGATCAACTTTTTTATTATGATAGGTTAGCCAGTATGAGTTACAATCCTCTATTCTCTGATACAAACCAACAACGTAAATTAACGAGAGACTATGATCCAGATTTGTATTTTTCCGCTGATTTAAATAAAAACTGTGAGTATTTTACTGAGGATCAATTCAATGCTATGTTAAAAGAGGAATCCCAGTATGACTCACAATTTTCTACTTTACATTTAAATATTCGCAGTCTTGTGCGCAATTTTCAAAATCTGACTGATTTATTGAACAATCTAGATATGCAATTCTCTGTTATTGGTATAACAGAGACTTGGTTACAAGATTCCGCTCATTTAGTAGACATTAACAGCTTGAAATTTTCTCATAAACATTGACCTAATAAAACAGGAGGCGGTGTTGGTTTATATTTGTCTGATGATTTCGAATCTAAAGTGCGTGATGACCTTTGTTTTGTTAATGAGGAATTAGCTGAGTCCTTATTTCTTGAGATTCCTAGGGCTCAAGGGAAAAACATTGTCGTCGGTATTATTTATAGACCTCCTAATCAAAGTGTAAGGGATTTCTTATTTGCATATAATGAGATAATTGAAAAAATTTCTAAAGAGAACAAAATATGCTACGTAATGGGGGATTTTAATTTGAACTTGATGGATCACCAGTGTCACTCTTTAACTGGCGAGTTTTTGGACGGAATGTATTCCAATATGTTTTTCCTCTAATAACTCGTCCAACTAGAATAACATCTTATACAGCTACTTTAATTGATAATATATTTACGAACCAATTATTTCCTTATTTAAAAAGTGGCTTATTGTTCACTGACATTTCGGATCATCTTCCGATCTTTTCAATTTGTTTTGATGACGATATGAAAAATCAAAATGTTAATGATGTAATTGTTTTTCGTGATAAAAATGCACAAAATTTAGTGAGGTTTAATGAGGAATTAATGAATGTAAATTGGTCGCAGTTAGATGGGTATGATGACCCAACTACATCATACAAAACTTTCTTATCTAAATATACTGAAATTTATGACTCATGTTTTCCTCTGAAAAAAATAAAGACTAACACAAGATCAATCAGCAAACTGTGGTTGTCAAAAGGCCTCTTAAAGTCTGTAAAAATAAAAAACAGACTATATAAAAAGTATTTGTCTAATCCTACACCAGAACATGAATATAAATTGAATCACTCTATAAGAATTGCTAAATCCTTATACTATACAAAGAAATTAGAGTGTGTAAAATCCGATACAAAAGCAACTTGGCGTGTACTTAATGAAGTCATTAATAAAAAAAATATAAGACTAAATTTCCATCTTCCTTTAAAGCTGATGACAATACGGAAATATCTGAGCCTGTTGAAATTGCTAACAGATTTTGTAATTACTTTACTAATATTGGTCCTAATCTGGTTAGGAAAATCTCATCTTCTAATTCTCCTCAAACGTTTTTATCCGGAAATTTTCCAAATTCAATTTTCCTCAAGTTAGCAACTGAATCAGAAATCCTGGTCGTAGCTTCCAGTTTTCAGTCGGGAAAAGCTGTAGGCATTGACAAAATTCCTATGTCTATTATAAAACAATCAATAAAAGCAATTTCTTAACCACTGACCCATATTATAAATTTGTCCATAACTCATGGTATTGTTCCTGATGAGATGAAAATAGCTCGGGTAATCCCTATTTTCAAAGCTGAAGATCGCAATGCTCTTACTAATTACAGGCCCATCTCTATACTCCCCAGTTTTTCCAAATTTTTAGAAAGAATTATCTATAACCGTTTTGGGGAATATTTTAATAAATATAATATTATATCTGATAAAGAGTACGGTTTTCAGAAAAATCATTCAACTTCCCTTGCCCTGATAGATTTGTATGATAAGATTTCAACTGCAATTGATCAAAAAGAAATTGCGGTTGGGATTTTTCTAGATTTATCGAAAGCCTTCGATACAGTGAACCACTGCATCCTTTTTAATAAACTAGAACATTATGGAATTCATGGTCTAGCTTTAGAGTGGGTCAAAAGTTACTTTTGCAATCGACGTCAATTTGTTCAATTCAATGATTGTTCTTCTGCTTTAAAAAATATAAGCTGTGGAGTACCTCAGGGTTCCATACTAGGTCCTTTATTCTTTTTATTATATATTAATGATGTCGCTAATGTATCAAAACTTGTGGACTTAATCCTATTTGCCGATGATACGAGCATATTTTTATCACATAAAGACTTAAACCATTTGAACAATGTTTTGAACAGTGAATTAAGGAAATTATCCGATTGGTTTAATGTAAATAAACTTTCCTTAAATCTAACGAAAACGAAATTTATGATATTCAAACCAAGACAAAAAACACGTTGCATAAATGTTCTTTTGACACTTAACAATTACTGTATCAAACAGGTAAATGAGACGGTGTTTTTAGGAGTAATATTAGACGAAACTTTGTCTTGGAAATCACATATTTCTCATATAGCTAATAAAATATCAAAATCAGTGGAAATAATTTTTAGGTCAAGTTTGTATTTACTTGACATTTCCTTACGTATTTTATATTATTCAATTATTTATCCATATCTTGAATATTGTAACTTAGTCTGGGCTTCGACATATTCATCCAACCTTCGTCATATTACATTGTTGCAAAAACGAGCTATTCGAATTTTAAATAAGAGCAAATTTCATGCTCATACTGACCCGCTCTTTAAAAAATTAAATATTCTGAAATTTGAGGATATTCGTTTGTTGCAATTAGGTCAGTTTATGTATTGTCATAAAAATTTTCTTTTGCTGAAAGGCTTTAACAGTATGTTTGTTTTAAATAGTCAAGTTCACACCTATAACACAAGACATTCGATAGTTTTTCACGTGCCATTTTGTAGAACAAATATTAAACAGTATTCTGTGAGATTTCAGGGCCCAAAACTTTTTAACTCTCTTCCATTTGATCTAGTTAATTCTACTTCTTTGTCTTCATTTAAAAAAAAACTGAAAGATTTTTTCTTCTTTAAATATTAAAAACTTTTAATCTTTTATAACTCCAACTGTTGTATTGTATAACGATTTATAAGTATGATGATCATGTACTCCTGTCTGTCAAAAATTAATACTGTGTAATTAGAATAAATGTTAATTACTACCCCAAATGCACGCGTGCCCAAAGGGAGCCTAAATCTCGATAAGCCCATTGGTTTCTTTTTAGGCTTCCTTGTTGCTAACATATCATGATTTAAATGTGTGTTTATTAATTTATATTTATTTTTGTAATACTAATTAATGTATATGTATAGCAACAAATCAAAAAATTTATTATTAAAATTTTTGAGTATACAAAGAAAAATATCACCAGGTTAACACCATATCAAAATGTTAACACCATGTGATTACTTTTTCTTTTGTGATACTTGTTTTAAAATTGTCCCATGCTTTTTTTTGTTTTAAATCAAAAGAATAGGCGTAAATTTTACTATCACAGTTAAGTGTAAAACATATGAAAAAAATCATAACTGTTTCATGAAACTGCTTAGGGAAAGTAATGATACAGCAACATTTCCGACATTTTTTTTTTTTACTTTGAAACAAAGACTGATGAAAATGATTAAATTATCCCCTTCTATGCTGTGATTCAAAAAGTTTGTCAATATTGTGAAAAACAGGAATTTGGAGGATGTGAAGAGAAAGATCCATTTATTTGCAGATCCATTTATTAAAAAAGCAAATTGTTCTAATTGTGTTTGCGGATATAGACAGTATGTTTTGGATAATAATGGAGATAATATTATTTCAGACTTAATTAGCTTTACAATTGAAGAAAGAAATAGTATTTGGATTGCACACAACGAAAGTCGTTTTGACAGAATTTTTTTATTACGAAAATTAATTAATGAACAGGAAATAATTCCTGATGTTATAATGAATGGGAAATAAGGTAATGCAATTAAATGTACTCTTTGTTAATGCAACATTTCTTAATAGTTACTTGTTTTTGCGTATGTTGTTAGCTAAATTTCCAACTTGCTTAGGTTTTGAAGATTTAACCACTATTTTTTTTATGATTTACAATACAAAGGTGCAATGATTGATGTTCCATTTTTTGACTAAACAAAAATGGGTGATGAAGAAAGAAAGGCATTCAATTCTTGGTATAATAAGAAATGTAAATCAACATATGTATTTCGAGATGAGATTTATTATTGTTTGGATGTTAATATTTACAGTGGCCTGTATGTGCAATGCACAAAACAAATGTTCAATGCAAAATTAATGTTAACAATGCATGATAATATATAGAAATGTACCGAAAACAACATAGATCTCAATTCAAGCTAAAGAAATACAATGCAAAATAAAATCGATTTTGATAGAAAATAGAATTGACCGCAATGCAAAAAAACTAATCCTGATGCAAAATAAAGTTTGATCAATGCAAAATAATTACCGCTATCCCAAGACAGTGTGGCTGCACACTGTCTTTCCATTTTTTTTCCTTACATCTCTTGCCAGGAAATTTGCGTGGAAATGTGAACAGTGAGAAAGCATGCATTTTATTAGCCCATTCTTACTTCGAGCCAAAATCGAAAAAAAAGGGAATTTGGGAAGAACTTTCTCGTTAAGCTTTGTAAAGACATGAAATAAGACGAAGTTTTAAAGAAATCATTAAAGAAATGGGAGAATTATGAACGAACATTCTCAATAGAGCGAGGTTATGTTTTGGTGTATCCTGATGGACAGTTAGCTCGCACTATTCCTGGCACAAATACTCAATTCACCTTAAAGGAGTACAAAGAAGGGATAGGAAAAGCATATTCAATATTGATTCTGTATTTGGCTCCAGTGCTGGAAAAAGACAAATTAGAAGAGGA